CACATCGGCTTCTTCTCCTTCTCCTCCTCCACCATTACTTCCTTTCCCTTTAATGACAGCAACAGCCTTACAACCACTTCCTCCTCCAGCACTTCCAAAAGAAATTCCGCCAAAATTTGGTGCAATGCTGATTCCAGGAGGACCAACAGACAAGTTAAAATTTCCAATTCCAACTTTCGTAGAAACAGATATTCCAGGACGCATGTGTGTACCAGCACTAATGTTACCAGCTTGCACTCCTGGTTTCAATTCAGTATTAGCACTTACTCCACTACCTCCATGTCCACTTAATTGAACATTAGCGAATTCTCCTTCAAATCCTCCTGTGCTAACACTTGTTTTAGCTGAAGCTGTAGCATCTATTCCAGTCACTCTAACATTTGCTGCTTTTATTGTTGAGCCTTCAACACTTGCTGTAGCTTTTGCACTTGCTCCTCCTTTTATTCCTTCAACAGTTGCTGTACCCATAATTACCTTTTTACCTGTTATATTCATGTCTGCACTTGTTTCAATCTTTTTTTCTACTCCAACAACTTTTGCTGAACCAAATTGTCCATCAAACCCTTCAACTTCAACTTTAGCTCCAACACGTGCTGTAGCATTAGCTCCAGAGATATCTGCTTTTCCTGCATTGATACTAGCACCTTTTACTTCTGCTGAGCTGGAGGCATTTGCTGTTGCTTTAGCTCCAGAAACGGTAGCATTTCCAAAACTAGCAGCTACACCAGTTGCTTTTGCTTCAGCAGATGCACTGGCATTGGCTTGTCCTCCAGTTGCTTTTACTTTAGCTATTTCAGCAGCCACGCCAACACCTTCAGCTTTCCCTGATGCACCAACATTACCTTCAGCACCACTGACATCAGCTTTAAGAGCTGACACATCCCCACCTTTAACTGATGCTTTAACATCTACTCCAACATTTCCCTTTCCTCCTGTTACTTTTAAATCCGCTGCAGTTGCACTTAGGCCCTTCCCTTCTACATTGACATTTATCTTGCCTTCTCCTTTCACACCAGCTGCTGTCACTGTTGCAGTTTTTGTTTCAATCCCTTTAGCATCAGCACTGACGCTCAATCCCTTCCCTTCTATTGAGATTCCTTTTGTATCAGCTTTACCGATTTGTGAATCATGAGCTTTTGCTTCTTTTTTAGTGAAAATTTTCATACAAGACACAGCAATAGCTTTAAAGCTAAAGGAACTTTTCTTCTCATCAGTAATTTCTTCATTATCACCA